CAAGTCCATCACAGGGCCACATAGAGACAAACGAGACAAACAACCATTCACTCTCTCACTCACACCTAGGGACAATTTAGAGTTACCAATCAGCCTAACATGCATGTTTTTGGTCTGTGGGAGGAAACCGGAGCACCCGGAGAAAACCCACGCATGCACGGAGAGAACATGCAAACTCCACCCAGAAGGCCCCTGGACCGGGGTTTGAACCAGGGACCTGCTTGCTGAGAGGCAGCAGCTCTACCAGTTGTGCCACCGTGCTATCACATAGAGCAATAAATGTGAAATAGTTTTAACCAGGAAGTTAAAAAAGTTCACTTTTTTGACATGGCAAAAGTTTAGACAAGCTTAACATGTTATTAACAAAGAGCTAAAGAAATACATTGTTGCCTTTTCTTTAAATTTGTTCTGTGTTGAAAGAGTTTGAATTTTGTGAAGTTAGAATGAATTTGTTGCAAAGCTGTTTGCAGCTCTGTGTGAGTCAGCTCAGTCTGAACCACAAAGTAGGCAACACTTTGGCCATTTCGCTACTTTTGGATCATCTGGTATACGGGTCTGCAACCTGTACCCCTGGAGCCACATGCGGCTCTTTGGTCCCTCCACAGCGGCTCTTTCAAGCTAATATAAAACTGAAATTTATATGATGTTATGCCCACAACAAGCAATGACTAGTTTTAGCAGTTTTCCTGTAAATTCCTTTGCAAATATGTGGATATTAGTACTAATACACAGAGTAAATTATACTCCCTTTAACTTTATGCTTTATTTCTTCAAAGTAAGATACTCAATTTCCCCACAATGGAAAAAAAAAACACACACACACACACACATAAGGCTGCACAGTTCATTGTTTTAGTTTTTTTAAATTTGGCAAAACACTATATTTTTTATTTCTTTACAATAATCCAGTCTTCTGTGATAGACTTGTGGCCTGGACATGGGCACCAGTGACCCCCTGCAACCCAAAAAGGAAGAAGCAAGTAAAGATAAATGATGGATGGATGGATGGATGGATGGATGGATGGATGGATGGATGGATGGATGGATGGATGGATGGATGGATGGATGGAATCCAATCTTTTCTTTTGTCTCAAAATGTAAAAATATCAATAAAGGTTAACAATCATTAGGTGTTTTTAGTTTAATAATTTCAAACCTAATGGCCAGAACAGCCCCCTCTAGCCAATTTAAAGTGGCCCATGGGCCACCAGTTGATAATGACAATTGTAGCAGGCTTTGCAGCTCTGGACACATTTAATTTAGTGAACGAAGGGGCAGATATGGCTCTTTTGATCATAAAGGTTGCAAACCCCTGTATATTCATTTGACTGGAAGAATTTAAAGATTTGGGAATATAAAACATCAAAACCTTCATTTTCTATACTCATAAAGATGAGAAAACTGCATAAACTTTATTTTATAATGTTCCATACTGTGTTAAGACTCCTGAAAAGAGACATGGATAAGTGATCTTGAACTACTAGAGCACCTTTACTTCTTCAGCCTGTCTCTTTACTTAGTTCAAACTGTCCTAAACATCAATTTCTTTAATATCCCAAGATATAAGTTATGCATCCTGTGAACCACGTGGTTTCCAATGACTGGAGATCATCTGGTATTAACACTCATGTAAACCAAACTGCTTTCTTTTTGTGGTCAGAACTTAAACTGCCTCATATAACTAGTCCGTGTTTTTTTCTTCTAACACCACCAGACAAGTTGTTCACGCTACGCTTTTAGTATTAAAAAAAAAAAAAAAAAACAGGCAAGGGGAGCTGAAGACGCCAACATCTGCTCATTAAATCTGTTCAGTTTCCTCCCTCGGAGTTGTTTATGAACTTTACCCAAGTTAAGTCATGGGGCGAAGCAGCCAATTAGCAGCCGTCTCCAAGAAGAAACGGCTCCTCTGGGCCAATGAGAGCAGCTGGATCAGCTGGATCGACATCTTCCTTCAGTCTGAACTCTCTGACATGTGCTCAGCTTTGTTGCTGTTTGACTTTTTCTCACAGGAAACAAAGGGAAGCCTGTGTCTTTCTCACAGGAGCTGAGCTCTGACCAACTGACCTACTCTGCAACAGTCTTAGGTGGAAAATTAAACTGTGTGTAAATAACTGAAACAAAACTTTATTGGGGGTGGAGGTTCTTTACTGCCCGGTGATTGTTTCAAATGAGCTACAAGCTGAGTGTACTTTATTTGGCAGCTGATTTTCAACATAGTCTCAATCTCTTTGAACAAAACAAACACTATGCACAGAATTCAAAATTATTAATAATTGTTGTGTGCAGTGGTTCCTGACCTTTGCACGCCTCAACTGTGCAGAACTGCCTCTGGATCGTCCCATCTGGAGCTGTAATGTAGCACCAAGGAATCTCCGAGGCGTCCGGGTTTCTGCAGTAATTATGATCCCCAACACCTACAAGATGAGGGATAAGAAAAACAGCCAATGTGTTACTGAGCCCTTGTTGCAGCGCAGTCTGTCCCACTGTGTGGATGAACTGCTGGATTCATGTTCACAGCGCAGCGAGCAGGCTGCCCTGAGCACAAACAATGGAAACAACATCTGCTGAATGAAAGAGGCCATTTAACACCACAAACTGGAGGGAGGGGATCTGGAGTGGGGGCTGTAAAATGAAAGCTTTGTGGGTTCCTTTTTTTTTTTTTTACAACCATTTACAGTTAAATTATCTTATCGGGCTATATCAAGTATCAACACATGTTAGGAGATGTTTGGTAAACTGCTACCATCAACATCTGTGGCATTTTTAAACCTGACTGCAGGTCAGACTCAAAAATCATGACTTTTTTCCATTTTATTTAAAAAAAAATCCACTTTTCACCTGTCTGTGAATCTGGATGAACTCCATCGTCATAGTCTCTGGTAGTATTGGTCCAGTTCAGGCAGATCAGGCCTGTGGAAGATTTCTGCTCTTCTCCTCTGTAGCCCAAACCTCTATGTGTCACACAGTCTGAGAAAAAAGTGGCAACACATAAACATGTTGTGCAAATTAAAAATCCAAAAGTAAAAAAAAACATGCATTTCAAAGCATGTCCAAGCTGTTTTAAATTAAACACACAAAAGATGTGAACTAAAACACTAAAAGTGGCTTTTATGAGTGGTCTTACCTGTTTGATCTGCATTTGATGCCACGATGGCCACGCTGAGGAAAACAACATGCAGCGACAAAAACATCTGCAGCAGCTGCTGACCAGCTGACTTTACTGACGACATGACGTGTTATCGTTTAAAAGAACAACAACAACAAAAAGGAAGAATGAAGAGAGAGCCTGTGCATTGAACACACTGCTGCTCTCCTTTGGGTCCCAGCCCGTGTTTTTGTCAAAGGAGCTGTTTTCTGTAAACAGCCTTCAGTGGAGGAGGAGGAGGAGGAAGAGGAGGAGGAGTCTCTTTGCAGAAGAAGAACTCAAGGTCCTAAAGGCTCACCATTTTCACACTGAACAGATTCATAAAAAAACAACCTGACTGGAAAACAGCCTACCATCTTATCACAGCAGGCAGACTCAATGAATCATCAGAAGTCGAGGATGTTCGTTCGTGTTCTGGCAACATTTTCCCCCATTCCATGTGGTTGTCTAAATGTCTATGCTTTCCATTTTCCTTTCAGAGTCATTACTTTCCATTTCTAAACCCCATCAGACTGTAGTTTTGTCTGCCTCTGAGTGCAGCTGCAGCCTTCCTCGTTCACAGACTTCATCTCCAACCCATGAGGACTCTTCTGCTGGCTCTGCAGAGGGTACAGCAATAAAGTCTGTGAGTGTGTGTGTGTGTCCTTGTTTATGCTACTTTGTGAGGCCCATTTTTCCAACTTATACTGCATTGTGAGGACCAACTGCTCCTTATGGGGCCCAAAGCCCGGGCCCCATAAGAAGAAGTCCCGTTGGTGGGTTAGGGGCTAGGTTTAGGACTAAGGTGTGAATTGAGGATGTGTTAGGTTTAGGGTTAGGTATGTACTGGTAATGGTTAGGTTAAGGATAAAGGTCATGGTTAGGCTATAGACATGAATGAAAAATGAATGGAAGTCAATGCAAAGGCCCCATAAAGATAGCAAAACAAACCTGTGTGTGTGAGTGTGTGTGTGTTGGCCGACTGGTAATGAGGCCAGCCAGTGAGTTAACTAACTAACTAAGCCTCTTTTCCAAAAGGATACTTACTCAGTTTTAAAACAAGCAAACACCCAACATCTGTCCTGAATGCTCCATCACATTTTAAACTTAAAGACGCCTGATCCATTAGTTTCAAAATAACTACTGGATTTAACAGCTCCTCCTTGAATCGCATCGTGGTGGTGGAGTTTGTGCGCCTGAATGAGGGGCTATGTGTCAACCTTGGTAGGGTCTCCCAATGCAGATTGGTCCTAGGTGACAGGCCAAACAAAGAGACATTCACTTATATGTGCAAAGAACAAGAAGCTCAGTGTCCCTTGCCTGGATACCAGTTTCCGGGGATCCACTCTGGAGCCAGGCCCCCGCCATCTGACCAATTAACTCACTACTAGGTGGTGATCAGTTGACAGCTCAGCTCCTCTATTCACCCACTCATCCAAAATTCAAAAAATGTTCAATACAAAAACAACTGGATCATCCAAAATAAATGGCCGCAAATCAGACGACACTACTACAAAGTCAATCATCGATCTACGACCTAGGGCGTCCTGGTGTCAAGTGCACTTATGGACACCCTTATGTTTGAGCATGGTGTTTGTGATGGACAAACTGTGACTAGCACAGAACACCGCTCGGGTTCAGACCATGAGGCCATTCCTCCCAGTCACACCCCTCCAGGTCACACTGTTGTTACCCGCTTGGGCATTGAAGTCCCCCAGCAGAATAAAGGAGTCCCCAGCCAGTGCAACTTCCAGCACCCCTGCCAAGGACTCCAAGAAGGCTGGACACTCTTTGGCACATAGGCACAAACTGTCAGAGCCCATCTCCACACCTGAAGGTGCAGGGAAGCCACCCTCTCATCTACCGGGGAAAACTCCAACACACAGGCACCAAGTCAGGAGAGTAGACCCGCACCAGCTCGACACCTCTCACCATGGGCAACTCTAGAGTGGAATAACGTTCAGCCCCTCTCAAGGAGATTGGTTCCTTGGTTCCAGAAACCATGCTGTGCATCGAGGTGAGCCCAACTATATCTAGTCGGTACCTCACAACCTCACACACGAGCTCAGACTCCTTCCCCACCAGAGAGGTCACGTTCCATGTCCCAAGAGCCAGCCAGGGTCAGATCACCAAGGTCTCTGCCTTCGACCACTGCCCATGCATCATGCACCCGACTGGCCCCTCCTGCAGGTGGTGGGCCCACAGCAAGGCAAACCCATGTTGCTCCTTTGGACTGAACCTGACCAGGCTCCACGGGTAGAGACCCGGTCATTTACATGAACCAACCACTGAAGAATTTATGGAGTTAATTTAAAATGGCAGCAGTCCTAGCTCAGACTAGCCATTACTTCATCAGTCTGATCAGGTCACTTTTCCCCCTAAACTGAGGTAATCTACAACAGGTAAGATATTATTGTTCCTAACTTTTCACAGCTTCTCAACTCAAAAGATCTGAATGACTTCTTTAACACATAAAAGCATCAAGGGTCGTTCAATTCTAAATGGGATTTGGCTGTTTTCTCAGTGAGTCACTGAGATGAAGATGATAAGTAAGGTGATAAAGAGTAACATCATAAACACCCAAATACATATTTTGAACCTTATTTGTTCATCGCCTGTAAAGACTTGTTAAAGCAGCAAAACTAAAACGTATCAATGCACAAACATGTTTTAAATGGAATGGAACATCTTAAGTGTGAATTAAGTTTATTTTATGTGTATGGTCTCACGTGGCACGGTGGCTCTCAGCGAGAAGGTTGCTAGATCAAGTCCTGGCTGGGGGGCCTTTCTGGATGAGTTTGCATGTTGTCTCTGCATGCCTGAGTTTTCTCTGGGTACTCCGGTTTCCTCCCACAGACCAAAAACATGCATGTTAGACTGATTGGTAATTGTCCCTAGGTGTGAGTGAGAGAGTGAACGGTTGTTTGTCTCCACGTGTCCCTGTGATGGACTGGAGACCTGTTCAGGGTGTCCCCTGCCTCTTGCACAGTGACTGCTGGATATGGGCGCAAGTGACTCCCGTGACTCGAAAAGGAAGAAGTGGGTAAACATAATAAATGGTCTCAAAGCTCACAAAATGTTTCTTTATGATAAAAAATATGGAGTATTAAACCAAAAGGCAAAACCCAAATTATTTTAAAAAGGCATCAATTCACTGGCTTCTAGAAAAAAAAAGTTAAATAGCCATTTGTGCAATAAGCAGAGCTGATATCATTAAAACAATCCAGAATAAAAGCAATAATTTTATTAATTACATGTTAGTGCAAAAAATTTTTTTTTTCAATTACTGTATAGCCATTTTCATACAAGACGACCTGAAACTTGGATGGAAAAACACTTCTCGTCTGTTTATGTACACACACTTCATTCCAGTGGCTGTGCATCACTTGGCCTTGCTCTCTGTTGCCATGGTTCATTTAAGTAAAAGGAGTCAGACTAACAGAGTCCAGATACACTCAGGTATAACAGCAGACTTTTATCAAGCCAGATGGTCATTTTATACAAATAAACACAGTCTGCCTTCAGGAAACCTCAACTGTTCTCATCTAACACTCTTAAACCTGTGGATATTTAGACACAGATGCAGGAAATATGTTTAGTTTGGATTAAAGATATATTGTTAAACTGTTAAAGAAAAACTCAAGACTTGATTTCCTTTACTGTTCTGTTAAATTAGAATGCATCAGAGCTCAGTTTTTATTTTTTAATTGAATCATGAATTTCTGGTTTGACAGAACAGTTACAATATAACATTTTTAAGAATTTAAAACTTCATTAAGTTTCCTCCAGTTAAAATGCACAAACATTTTTTTTTTTAGATTAGTCCAAAAAACAGATTAGAGATTTTGTTCTGCATCTCTAACTTGTTCTGTGCTCTCAGTTAGAAATGTTTTCAGGTTGAAAACAACAAAGTCCATGCTCAATAATCCAGGTATACAATCCAACATTTTTCAGTCAGGTCATCTGGACAGTTTTTTTGTTGTTGTTTGGTTTGTTCCACTTTGGAGTAAGGTGTTGGGGAAGAATCAGTTTTGTGTTGTGCGTTTCCTTGACTGATGAAGCTTTCCGGCTCAAAGCCGAAACGTTTCAGCACAAAAAAAGAAACTGTCCAGATGACCTGACTGAAAAATGTTGGATCTTCAGGTTGCTTTGAGCTGCTGAGCCCTCAACACTGGGAGTGGACATTGTGTCTCAGTAAACACAATGCAGAAGATTTAAATATGAATCATTGACACAAGCTCACTGTCATAGCTGTTGAATAACCAGATGCTCAATGCTGCAACACCTGATGCACACAAAAGTGGACGTACAGGAAAATTAGAATATATATATATATAT